ACGTACGTACGTACGTACGTACGTACGTACGTACCGTACTACGTTACGTTACGTACGTACGTACGACGTACTTACGTACTACTACGTACGACGACACACAAGAGAGAGAGAGAGAGAGAGAGAGAGAGAGAGAGAGAGAGAGAGAGAGAGAGAGAGAGAAGATTGAAAGCGAGGGGTAAAACCAAGGAAAAACAATAATTGGGTTAAAGGTGTGATATGAAAAATATTGAAGGATTGGATGTCCACAAAGTACATCCCAATGGGTATCCATAATTTTACTTAAAATTTATCACTTTTTTTATTATTAATATTAAATTGTCATATAACCCTCATTCATTGGACTACTACAATTACCACAAACCCCTATATGAGGAAAAATATGGATCGAATAAGATTCAGAGATGGAAAATAAACAAACTATTCTAGCAAATCCTGCCCCAGTCACAAAGCTATAGTTTTTAGGACCAAAATGACCTCTCCTTTCTAACACCGACTACTTACCTTTTTCCATAAGACACAAAAAGGCGGTCTGACAATATAAACAAGCGGTCCGACAATATCCTAAAGCGGTCTGGCACTGACAAAAAACGGTTCGGCAATAGGCCATGCAGTCTGGCACTGCTAGAGAGCGGTCCAGCAACAGACCCCTGCGGTCCAGCAACAGGTCCAAAGTGCGGTAGGGCAATGTCAAAGAGCGGTCCGACACTTTTTTTAGTACGGGGTTTGACAATTGGTACATGGCGGTCTGGCAGCCTATGTAACTTTTGGTACTGTGCATAAGCCCACATGAATGTCCGGCCAAAATTAAATTTTTATGTACGACAAAGGGCATTTCGTCAAAAAAATGAACCTTTTTTTACTTAGGGGGTATTTGCTAGAACGATATATTTTGGGGTAAAAAGTGAAAAAAAAGTTTTGTGGGGCTAAGTTGCATAGGAAGTCTATTCTTGGGTTATAATTTTTTTCTCTGATTTTAAAAAGCCAAAACATATTATACTCCATTGGGAGTATATTGTCCATTTACTCATCATCATCATTATCATCCAAGCCTCTTCCCAATTATTTGGGGTTAGCTATGTGAATCCCGTTATTCCACTCTTCTATATCAAGGGCCATACCTTTAATAAGACCAAAAGTCACCATATATTTTCTTACTACTGAGCCTTCTACTTGAACCAAATCGATCCTCCTAATTGTTGCCGTATTAGATCTACGCTACCCATGGCTAGTCCACCTAATTCTACTTTCCCTTATCTTATCACTTATTGAAACCACACTTAAGCTCCCTCGTATTTATTTCGAATTCTATCCTTTCTTATCTTGCTACTCATCCATCTCAATATCATCATTTCAATTATGCTTATCCTATGGATATGTTGTTTCTTGACTACCCAATAGTTTATCACACAAAATATGACTAGTTTTACAACCGTCCTATAGAACTTCCCCTTTAGTCTCAATGGTATGTGGCATTCATATTAAATTTTGGATGCAAATCTCTACTTCGCCCACTTAACTCTAATTCTATTTGTGATATGTTCCTCAATATCTATATTGTTCTGTATTATCTACCCTAGATATCATAAGTAGTCTCTTTTAGGTATTTCTTGATCATTAAGCTTAACTACTTCATCGTTTCTACTCCTATTATTATTAAATGTGCATTCCATATATTTTGTCTTAGTCCGGCTAATTTTAAGACCTTTAGATTCTAGAGCATTCCTCTAATGTTCTAACTTTGCATTGGCACCACCTCTAGTCTTGTCGATCAAAATTATGTCATCCGCCAACAACATGCATCACAATACCTCATCTTATAGGTGTTTGGTTGACTCCTCCATAACGAAAACAAAGAGATATGGGCTCATCGTTGATCCCTAATGTAGGTATATGGTTACTGAGAACTCACTTGTCTCTCTAGTAAGAGAACTCACTTGTCTCTCTAATAATAGTTCGCACACTAGTTAGCGCACCTTCGTACATATTTATCACTATATCGATATAGCCTCTGGTGACTCTTTTCTCCCACCAAATTAAATGTCTAAGTACTCTATCTATTGTATGCTTTCTCTAAATTAATAAAGACCATTTGGAGGTCTTTACACTTCACCCTAATCTTCTCAATCAATTGCCTAAGTAGGAAAATGACTTCAATAGCTAACCTTTCTTGTATAAAACCGAACTAAATTTTTGATACACTTGCTTCGATAGTTGACCTTCATTGCATAAAACTGAACTGATTTCTTGATACACTTATTTCACGCCTCATTCATTGCCCAACTGCTCTTCTTCCGTAGCTTCAGAGTATGCCTTATAAATTTAATCCCTCGATAGTTCATACAATTCTATGTTTGCTTTGTACTTAAAAATAGTTACCACATTTTCCTCTTTTTGTTTGATATTTTCTTTGTTCTCAACACTGTATTGAACAGAGTATCAGTTTGAACAAGAATTGCAGCTTTAGAACATGAGCTTGCCAATTTCAAGGGTAAACTTCAAATTAAACAAGATGCAGTTAGCCTGGCCGAGGTCGGACACAGAGAATCTAATGGAAGGGTTCACGAGCACCGCGCATTTGAGCAGCGAGAAGAAAAGGAGAAGCTACAAGAGGAGGCCACAAATGCCAAAGCTCATTGCAAAGAACTCGTACAGGGCCAAACAACTGCGTTCCGGGAAATATTGTCTCGTGTTATTATTACAATTTTTTCAGTTGCATGCTTCTTCTATTATCTCCTCGTTCTTCTTTTTATATGGTAAACCGGCGCACACACACTCTCTCTCTTAAATTTTATCTCGTCTTCTCTCCATAGTATAACAGTCTACGATCCGTTTGAATGGGAAGCGAATGCCAGTTTTATTTTGGACGTAGCATCCTATCCAGTATCTCTACATGATTTATATGCAGGAAACTGCCTTTTGCAAGTATTTTACGGACAACCATTTTCGTCATGATGATAGGGATCATGTAGTTTAATATCGTAAGGGGATGTAAAATATGAAAATGTTGTAAGCTTTTGTGGAGGAGAGGAGGGTGAATCTGGTTAAAAACATTGGGTTCGGGTTATGCAACATTTTCGAAAGTCAATATCAGACAACCTGTTTCAGTAGTAGCCGGTTGACCTGGCTAGCAGGTTAGCCAGTGAACACCTCAACAAATATCCAGAGGAAAGCTATCTTACATCCAGAGGCCCTTAACAGATCAAGTCCAATGCATGTCTAAACTACACATGATCATTTGCCTGAAATTTGTCATGTTATACTTCTATTGGATCATGGACTGAAAATTTGTCACAGATATTGGGGGTGGAACAGTTCCATCCTTCATGCGTAGAGTGCCCATATACATGAGGGTTAAGTTAGAAGAAAAATGCAATGCACGAATAGATGGTATGTTCATGGTGACCAAGAATGATGGGATGGAAACAAACAAAACGTAGGGGAAATAACACAGTTATGGGATATATATCTATTCTCAAATACCCTCACAATGAGGAAAATAATTTTTACAAATTTAACAGAAGCAGCTGGCTTGATCTGCCTTGTACTGCTTGTAACTTTTTCGACATTACACTAATTTGGATGAAACTCTTTCCAAACTAAATAAGACAGTACTTTCAACTTCCTCCAAGATCTTGCTTAGGTCAATTTGGTTTACACACACGGATATACAGCTTTAGTAATCTATTCTCCATGTGATCGCAAGGATGAAGAGCTTGAGCCTGAAGATTTACCGGTAAAGCTTTGAGATCTCATCTCTGAACCGATCCATAACCTTGTCTCTACGTATTTTCATGGTCGGGGTCAATAAGCCGCTATCTATCTGCAGTCAAAGATGCTATATCAAATCCCAAGAATGAGACAAAGAAGGAATATACATACTGCTGCTAATGGTTCTGTAAAATACCGTCAATGGCTCCTCCAGTAGCAAGAATGGCCCAATCTGGAATGAACAATCTGAAGTCCTGCATGTGGACACAAGGACATCATACACAATCCAAGAAAAGGTATCTCCCATAATTCAAGAGACCTTACAACAATACGAAATGCACACTATAATCCAATGGTTCTGTTGAGTGTCCCGCAGATGGATGGATAGTGATGGAAGAGAGAGCATGAAATTGGCCCAGATGTGCATCCCACTCTCCATCACTGTATATCTGATTTGGACAGTGATAAGCCAATGGACTATGGTTTTTCCATGGTATGTTGGATATTGTTGTACTTTTAAAATCTTTAAAGAAGTTTAACATATATACAATGCTAGACACCAGAGTGCATGAAGCACAAAGTTGCACGCCCAGCTCATGGGCATGGAATCCCAAGAACATCATTCCTTTTGAGTTCTAAGGATTTTAGCTTAAATTGACTGGGACTGGATTGGCAGAAAATATAGATACCGAAGCAGGGAACTACACCTTCCCTATGTAACAACGAAAAGGCGCTATTGTTAACGAGTCCTTAACAGGTTTAAGAATCAATAAAACTACCCACGTTATTCAGCGAAGTGTATTACATCGAATGTAAAGATCAAGAGCATCTCTAGCGCCAAACCACTGATTCTGGCATCACAATAGACATACTTTCTCCAATAACTATATTATACATTCTAAATGTCATTGAGATGATCATGCCATTTTATGCGAAAGGAACTAAGAGGCTTATTTCCCTGAAAATTGTGATAAAAGATCTACTCCTGGTGAGGTATAATAATTCAAGCATTTTTTACAGATTAAGCCATAGATACTGCACAGGGCATACCAGTGTTTCAATTCATCCCGTATCACGCTGTTCAATAACTCTTTACTAGGTCCTACATCTGGGTCATTTGATTTCAACAGCTTCCTCGCAACCAATAGAAGCTCATCCTTGTTTGGAACAATTAGAGCACCGAGCCGTCTCTGATCCTGCAGGACAAACCAGAACTGAAAAATATTATTTTCCCCGGGACAAAGAAATTTTCAGTAAGTGGTTCTTAGATAATTAAATTCAAATTTCTAAGGAAATAAATATCTTATGTAAATTTTCACAGTAAAACTTTCGGGATAAAAAAATGTTCTGTCATTACCTGGCCAATGACCACAATTTGATGAATCAGAGAACTTTGCAGTGCGGCTTCCTCGATTACTGATGGTTCAACATTTTCACCTGAGTATTTGATCTAGTTATGGGTTTCTGGTCTCTCATAAAGTTTCAAAGCCATGGAGCGTATACAGCATGTAAAAAAGCACAATATAGTGGAAAGTGTTCTGATTTCAGAAGATTAACACTTCCAGAATGCAACGGTCATGGTTTTATGATACACTAAGTATGAATGGCGATATGAAAGTTGCTGATGTGTTGGTTGCAGGGAAAAATTCAATTAAAAAGAATGAAAGAAATTTATTTGATCATGCTTGTGTCAATTCTTATAAGTTGAAGGCCACCATCAACAAGTTACCTCCCTGGCATATCCACATACATCATAAGTGACACTCTTTCCTATATTTCTAGAGTACAAATACAGGTGAAGCCACTTGGTGTTGCCATGTTACGTCATGTATACACCTTGACTCCAAGGGAATTGTTTTCTTTAAGGTTATTCCTACTTTCTCCATGTATTGTGCAAAACAAATTTCAGATCAGAACATGTATCTTCTTTGTCATTGATTACTCGGTGTAGGCTTCATAGATGATATATTTTGCACATAACTGTTAAATATCATGCAATGGAAAGCAAACTACCCTAGCATCACTATAAACTACATCTCCAATAAATTGAATAAGCTAAAGGAATAGTTCGAGATGCTATACCACCTAAGTGGCCTTGATAGCTCAGTTACTTCCAATTGTGCCTACAATGGGTCAAATTAAGCCTCCTTGATATGATAGTGTTCTCTTAGAAGAAAACACGATAGTTACCATAAGCGTTTCAGAAACCGAATCAATTTAGGAATCGGAAAAGCGGAATCGCTGCCAGCTGGAAGATTCCTATTTTCGGAATCGACGTCCGTACAAGAGGAATCGTGTGGGGCGATGTTCCTATTTTCAAGAATTGAGATTCGACCAACATAGAATCGAGATCTCTACATAGATGGAATCGAGATTCTAGCGCTTTGAAATCAATTTTCCAACCTAATTGAAATTGACCAATATGGAATCAAGATTCTTTCATTTATAAAATCGAGATTCTGATTTCTTTGGAAACGAGAGAGAACTGAGAGGGACACAACACATATCTCAATGCCATTCATTGACCAACATGCCATACATGCACATTTACATTATTTTTATTACATTGTTTCTAATATTATTTGTATTACATTATCTCTAATATCGTGGAGTTGCAATCTCTCCATTGGATCAATACAATAAATACTTAAAAAATTAAGTAGAGAACGTGGACCACCACTTTGGTTTCTATTAGTCATTTCATGCCAAAAAAGATCAATTACGTCTTGTAGCTTGAGATTGGGTGTCTAGCTCGAGTAGTTTGATGTTTTGAAAACTTTTAAATATCACATCTCTAGAAAAAAGAGAAAAAAAGAGAGGGGTTGGGGGGTTTGGGGGGGTGGTGAAGTGGTAGAATTCTGGTAAATGTAGAAACCAATTTCAACAAATGTAGCATCGCGATTCACCAATTGCGGAATCGAGAATCAGTGAATATTGAAAACATAATTCTACTAAGTGTTGGAATCGAGATTCCAGACTTCATGGAAACGAGATCCATGAAGATTCCTAATCGGCATCGCTGGATCAGGGCTTTCAATTGAAAATGCGACTTTCGGTGAGAGATTGTGTAACTATGGGAAAAACTGATCCATATGATGAGAATAATCAAATTAAGGCCTTGGGCTGACCATCTGGATGGTCACCTCTTTGACAAAGATCGACTTTAAATTGGGCTGCATCATCCTCCCCCTCTTGAAAAGAACTTGACATTGGCGAGTTATTGATCAATTTCTGGTAGTCATCCCCACTTATTCGCATAATTCCTCATTAGAAATCCACGTACTACCAAGGTTGGTAAATCTTTCGATTGGCCTAGATATCATTTATAGTTGCTTCGACATGTCTTGATAGTTCGCACTTCGACTATTTGTTGAACTTCTGGCACCATTTTTCTTGGCTATTTGTCTCTCCATTTCAGCAAACTGTTCGACTGGGCTATCATCAGTCCCATGGCGAGTAGGCTTCCATGAGTGGCGACGTTCAGCTGAAGATAGAGAGAAATCGACTGGTCGGCAAAGACAAGGAAAAATGGGGAAACGGAAGGGCTTTCACAATCCATCACTTAAGGTGATCCAGATCCATAAATGGCGGTGGTGGGATTATTGAATATCCAGAGGAGAGGGGTGTGATATATATCAAGAGACTAGGCAACTCTATCTCATAAGCATACTATTAATGCACTGGAATGCTTAGTAAGGGCTGACATTATGTTGCTTGAGTTTGTTATAAGTACCAATTGGAAGCAGCCCATGTAACAAATACACCATAACAAGATCATATTCTTGAAATATGTTTCTTCCTGAATACTCATTCACTTTAGTTTCACACTTGGCATTCTTAGTTTGTAAATGGTCTTGCACCTGTGCTCGAATGTCCCAAATATATCAGCCATTGCTTCTGCATCATCAATTATTTGGCATGGAAGTGTAGTGGCACTGAATCTACAACATGTGTTGGATTTCACCCATATGCCACGTAAAATGGCCAACTTCCTAACGTCCAGTTCACCAAACTGTTCTAAGAAAATTCAGTATGAAGAAGAGCTAAGTCCCAAGGTTGGGAAATCTTTCGATTGAGCTAGATATTGATTATAGGAGCCTCGGCATGTCTTGATAGTTTGCACTTCAAATACCTGTTGAACTTCTGGCACCATATTTTTTGGCTATTTGTTTCTCCAATTCAGCAATCTGTGGGACTGGGCTATCATCAGTCGCATGGTTCTCAAAGAGATCAGCAACATTGAACTCTGGTGTGTATTCTCAAAAAAAAAACATTGAACTCTGGTGTGCTATATATCAAGAGACTACGCAACTCTATCTCATAAGCGTATTGTTAATGCACTAGAGTGCTTGATAAGCACATCTTATGTTGCTTGAGTTTGTTGTAAGTGTCGATTGGAAGCAGCTTTCGTAACAAATATAACATAACAAGATCAACAAATATAACATAACAAGATCACATTCTTGAAATATGTTTCCTCTTCAATACTCAATCACTATAGCTTCAGACTTAGCATTCTTAGTTCGTAACTGATCTTGCACCTTTGCTTGAATGTCCCAAATATATCACCCATTGCTTCCGCATCATCAATTATTTTAACATGGAAGTGTAGTGGCTGTGAATGAACAACAGGTGTTGGATTCACCCATACACAAGCTCTCATAATTCTGTTCACCAAACCGTCCTAAGAAAATTCAGCATACGGATAGCTAAGTCCCACTATGTAGGCCTTTCACTTGCAAGATGTCGTTACATGTTGTCCAACGTACAATTTACAGCTTCAGTTTGCCCATCAATTTTGGGTTAATAAGCTCTATTTGAAATTTGGCACCCAATTTCTTCAACATTGTTCTCCAAAAGTGACTCAAGAACTTGGAATCACAGTCAGAGTTAGGTTGCTAATATGTGCCACTCCTTTTTCCCTGGGATCACCGGCAGCAAGCATTTTTGTGTGATGCGTGTCAATAGGCAGCTATCATTTGGACTCATTGGACCATAGTTAGCAAATCGCCGTTTAATCGGCGATTTTTTCAAAAATTCGGTGTTTTTATGGAAACAGTTTTAAACGGCGACTTTTTGAAAAGGTCGGCAAAAAATCGCGTAATTTTCATAAACCCGTTTAAAACGGATTTTTTTCAAAATACGATTTAAATCAGGGACAAAAATCGTATTCGTTTTTACCTATATTTTTTTTTGAAAAATATTTTTTTTTCTATTTTGTCTATTGCAGCCATTGCTACTTTCATGTTTAAAAAAAAAAAAATTACTTCAAAAAAAAAACTGAAATAGAAGCTTTTATCCCCAATGTGCTCTTCAAAGCCAGAGTTGCAGATTGATAGTATGAATTTTTTTTAAAACTTAATCAAATAGATGGAAATTTCAGTTGTATTTCTGGAAAATCATTGTGTAAATGAAATAATGTTTATAGCAAATCATTTTGTAAAGTAAATCATTGTGTAAAGAAATCATATACAGGCAGATCGCTGTGATTATTTGTGATAATTGTTTTTATGAAAATAATGTTAATGGCACAAATTAAAGCTCAAAGCATAATTTTGTACTGATGAATGAGAAGCAGAGAGTGTGACTACAGGACCGAGTAATCAATATTTTGTTGATTGTGTAAACTGTAAACTTATAGGAGCAAGCAATTGTACATGTAGGATTAGTTCCCCAAACTTAATCCTTCAGCTCTGTTTCCTCAAGAAAATGAATGCCCTCTTCAAACTATCCCAAATCAGAGAGAAAAGCCCTCCTCAAACTATCCCAAATCAGCATCCCATCTTCCTAAATCAGCATCCCATCTTCCTTTTCTCTCTAAAAATCAGTTAGGGCCTCTTCCATTAGGGTTCTTCCTTCTCTCTATAAAAATCAATTAGGGCCCTTTCCATTAGGGTTTGTGAAAACCATTTTCTTCTTCCTTCTTCTCTCTATAAACCCTAATAGCTATGAGCGGACCCTATTTTCTTCTCTTCCTTCTTCCTTCTTCTCTCTTCTTCTCTTCTTCCTTCTACCTTCGTCGTTCTTCCTTCTCTCTCTACATAGGAAACACAGATGTAAAATCCAAATGTCTACAAACTTCTTTTCAACTAAAGAAATTTGTAAAACTTTAACCATAGTTATGGAGTGACCATAGTCACCACACCATAGTTAAATTATTGTAATGAGAAACAAAAATCGTGTATTTATTTTTTGGTACCTGTTAAGTAGGAGTTATGTTTAAGTATTTAATGAATAAATTGTTTTTGTATGTAATAAGTAGGTGTGATGTTTCTTAAAGTATTGAATGGGTAGATTTATATGGTACTTTTTTTGGCATATACTAATTAATTATATATTTAATATTGGATGATTGGATGAGCGTCACGAGACATCTAAATTAATTGACTTAATTATATCAGTCTAGTAAAATTTTTATAGATGACTTAGTAATTGAT